GTCTGATGATGGTACATTTGCATGGCAAAAACATTAATAAATGAACTGCAATATTCTTACAGCTGTCCCATGAACAGTATTGTAAAATAACTGAAATTTACGGAGGGGGTCTTTTTACAAAATAATCAATATTGTACCTTTAATCCATATTTAATTTAATAAAATAATATTTTGTAAAACTAGTAACTTGGTCATTTTTGTGTGGCCTGGAAAGTTTAAAAAGGTTTTTATGGTTTTCGCAGAAAAACAAATCTAATGTTTGAAAATCTTTGACATGCTTAACTCTCTGTTTCAAAACACCCCTTGACACCAGCAGGTCATAATTGAATATGCTGATAGAAAGAGAAACAGGTCTATATGGGTTCAGGGAATCCAAAGAAGCTTGTGTATTAAACACTAACTATTGTGCAGGTAGCTTAAAAATGAAAAAGGTAGAAATATCACCTCAGTCGTTCATTTTGTTAAGAAGCCTACTCTCCTTTCAACATCACAGAGTGAAGAGCTGGTTTAATGTCCTAATAGTTGACAGTTTTTGTGCTAGCATGGTGTAGTAATAAGCTAATAAACGTGAGTTTTAGAAAATTGTTTTGCAGATGTCATGTGTGTACTGTTGTCCCTGCTGCTCTGATTGTGAATGGGTTTTTTTTCCCTCACTGGAAATTAAATATTGTTTAATATTGTTTGGATTTTTTGTTTTGTTTTGTTTTGGGGTTTTTTTTTTGCAACACCAGTTTTAGGCTATGTCCACAGTAATGCGTTTTCATTTGAAAATGAATTTTTTTCTCTCCATTTTGGCCTCCCGTCCACACTGACACGGCGTTTTCCCCAAGGAAAAATACAGCATTTTGAAAACGCTCTCAAAAACGCATACATTTCAAAACGGAGCTGTCCCGTCGCAGTATGGACACTCAAAAACGCAGACTTTTGAAAATGATGACGCATGTAGGTCATATGATGCAGTCATGTAACAACTTAAACCAAGATGGCGGATGGCATCGGACAGCAGTTGTTTTGTTTGCTCACATTTTTGGTAGTCGAGTCGTCTTGCGTTTCACGCATGCGCGGAACTGCAACGTCAGCGTTTTCAACTATTTTAGTGGTTCAGGTTCTTTGAAAACAACTGAAAACGCTAGTGTGGACGCGGGGCATTTTGAGACAAAAATTTTCAAATCTATCCAGGCTAGTGTGGACGTAGCCTTAGAGTCTCCATGTTTCCTTAGTGCTTATCCGAGAGCAAACATTGGTTTACTATAAACAGCCTCCTTTTGTTTTGTTTTGTTTTGTTTGTTTGTTTTTTACTTTTCCTGCACTGTCAGCAAAACAGTAGCTCATGGTTAACATTTAGTCTTTCCCATCTACAAAGTAATATGCCGGTTTAGGATTTTTCATTACATGTATGTGGGAACATTATCAACATCAAGCATTGTCAGTCTTATCTGTATGTGACCTTAACAGTGTTATACTGGTAATTTATAAAGTATATTAACACAATGACTAATGTCTAAAAAGTCTTGTGCTTCTATTAAAATCCCTGATTGAGTTTGAGAAAAGTCTACTAGCAACTAGACAGAAACAGTACTGGCCTACATTAAGAACTCTATTTTAACAGCAATGAAAATATATTGCGAGAAGCACAGGAAATAAACAGGATTGTAGCTGAATACACCAGCATGAACCAGCATTATTCAAATCTTTTTGCTTGTTTGTTTAAATTATCCATTGTCTATCATTTTTTCCCCTTTGTGATATAGAAAATGGTACTTTGATATGGAGTATATTCCTGGGTATCAGACATGCACTCTTTGTCAATTCCAGATTGGCTCAAGTTTTCTGTTATGGAGGTTGCCCCACAGTACTCTCATATCTGCATCTTTGCCTGAATTTTACGTTCCCTTCCTGCTGGACTCAGGGAAGACACTGACTTACGAACTGAACTGAATCACAAATTGGTTTTACTCAAAAGTCTCAATACTCATAAATTTTATTGAATAATTCTGAGCATGTCTCAAAAGCAGATTAGTTAATTATGAAAGACTGTAAACTATTTTAGAAAACAATGAATATGTCTTGATGCATGCTCAATCATCCACGTAAGTAAACAATGAATACTTTTAAAAAGTTGGTTATTTATTTATAAACAAATGATTATTCAATATTTTAATGGGAAACGAAAATAAAAAAATATGATGTAAAGTGACATTTTTTTATTTTATTTTTTTAAGATTGTTATTTCAACTCAGTATCACAACGTGTAATAGACACGCTGGTGCAGAAGTTGCATTACCAGCAGGGGGCGATAATATATTAAAAGTCAAGAGGTTGGCATTGAGCAAAACAAAACAGTAAAAGTACATTTCAGGGTCCTTATTTGCCAAAAATGATTAAGCGAGGCAGCTAATATGTATATACATGTAATTGTCTTCATAATGTCTGCTTAGACACTTTCCGTGATTATTTTCATGTTGGTTTGAAATCAGTAGCAGTTTTTGATACGGGCGAGACGGGCGGTTGCCCGGGGCGGCATCGTGGTGGGGGGCGGCATCACGGGCATCGGCCAAAAAAAATAAATTGCTCGTACTCATGCTGCCCCGACGTTATGCCAGCGCATATTGGGAATGGCATAGGCACCGATCGGTTTTCTATCGCCCATTTGCTGGGAGTAGGGGCGCCCCCTGTTTGCTAGGTGCGCCTGCTGATTGCGGCTCAGGGAGGAGAGGCGGGGCAGCGGGGGATTCTCAGGCTGGCAGGACCACATCTAATAACCAACTCACAAAATAAAACAAAATAAAAACCAATCAACAAAAACACCAGACATCATGATACAGACTTATAATTTGCACCGATGGTTTTTCGAAATTCTATACGCGAAAAGTGAGCGCGAGAGCCCTCCGTGCGCCTGCTTGCTGCTGAAGTCAAAGTAAACTTTATTGTCCAGTCCAGTATATAGAGAGACGACACGACGAGTCTCCAGTTACAGCAGTGCAAGTAAACAAACAATAAATATAAGAAGAGTAAGAAAATAAATATACACTTTAGGACCAGGGGTAAAGGGATCAATAACAATTTAAAATTTATAATTTACAGTTTGATGATTTAAAGTAACACACAACCCTTCGAAAGGGGAGGGCCCTGCTTCCAAATAGAGCATATCTCATTCATAATGATGTAAATCCAAGCCCATTATGTATTCATTATTTGAATCCTGGGTTGTGTGAAATCCCAGAAATAAACCCTAGACAAAGTGAATCTGTGAACTAAGGTGTAGGTCTATTAGGTTATGTTGTGGTGATCCTCGAGTTGGGGGATTTGTGTTCATACTGGAGTTCAAAATTAAAACCAGAGGGAGTGTTCACCCAGGGCACCAAACAGGCTAGGACCGCCACTGTTTGAAATAAAACATCTCCGTGTGCAACTGCAACTTCTGCATGAGTGTCCATTTCATGCTTTGGTGAAGCAAAGCGTGAAACGGACTAGCGTTTTACACATTTTGCCATAATATCAGGTTGATGATTTTTTTAAAACAGAAAAACTTTTTTTTTCCTGTTGCCTCACTGCATTTCCTTATTTGAATTGTTAATGGATTTACTCAGAAATGTATGTTTGGAGGATCAGAATAACTAAGTTTTAGCTCGTTTACCTTTTGCTTCTTGATTTTAAGTATTTAAAAACTAAAACACATCTGTTCTCATAATCTGTTTTTTCTTTTTTTAGATGCTCAGATAAGATTAATTGATCCTGATAATTCTGGGGCAACTCTTTGCTCTGGAAGAGTGGAAATCTATAACAACAACAGATGGGTAACAGTCTGTGATGATGGCTGGGACCTAAATGATGCTGAGGTGGTCTGCAGACAGTTAGACTGTGGACCAGCACTGAATGCCACTCGATCAGCTCACTTTGGTAAAGGAACAGGACAAATCTGGCTGGCTGGTGTGTCCTGCTCAGGAAGTGAAAGTTCTCTAACTGATTGTCTGCACAGAGGATTTGGTTCACACGACTGTGGACATTATCAGGATGCTGGTGTCATCTGTTCTGGTGAGACACTTTTTGGATCATGAACAGTATTCAGTAACAATTTGTTCATGCAGCTGTAATCTAGAGAGAAATATGTCTGTTAATTATTATTTTGTAAACCTTTTTTAAAATATATTTTTTAGAAAAGCTGTTGTGTGACTGGATTTGGTTAACTCTCGCACACGTGTGTCATGGTGCTGGGTCTGTGACCCAGCATGCTGAGTTATTTTGTATTTTGATCGTTAAGGTTCTACTAGTATTATTAGTTTGCCATAGCTGAGTTTAGTCTAGTTTATATTATCATCCATCTCTGTGGTGGCGAACATCAACAGACAGGGTGGGTTAGGGTCCTGTCCTTTGCACATATTGGCTCGCAAACTGATAATTTGGAGCAGCATCAGTGTGTTGTGACTGAGGGCTACTAATATTCTAGGGGCTCTGAACTTGGGAATAGCAATCTGTCTTTTAATGAAAGGGTCATGATGGCACAATGGATGTCTAAACCTCATTCCATCCATCCATCTTCTGCTGAGTCGAACCACCTTAACTATCTCCTTTCGATGTGGAGGACCAACGGCTCTACTCTGAGCCCCTCCTGGATGGCTTAACTTCTTACTCTGTCAGAGCACAGACCCCCTTCCTAGGAAGCTCATTTCTGCCACTTGTATACGCAATCTTGTTCTTTCGGTCACTTTTACACTCAGCTCTCTCTTCACCATGGCGGACTGGTACAGTGTCTGCATCACTGCTGCTGCAGCACCAATCCATCTGTCAATCTCCCGCTCCCTTCTCCAGTCACTCGTGAACAAGACCCCGACATACTTAAACTTCTCCACTTGGGGCAGGAACTCCAATGGGCACTTCACCCCTTTGGTCCTCACCCTTTTCAGCCGAGGACCATGGTGTCACGGTACTGGGTCTGCGACCCAGAGTTTTGTGTTTTTGGTTTAAGTAAAAGGATAAAGAGCTGCTCCAGTGTTCCATGAACAGAACGAAAACCGCATTGTTCCTCCTATATCCAAGGTTCGACTAATGGACGGGCTCTCTTTTCCACCACCTTGGCATTGACCTTCCCAGGAAGGCTGAGAGGTGTGATCCCCCTATAGTTGGAATACCCTCTGGTCCCCCTTCTTAAAGATGGGAAGCACCGCCTCGGTCTGCCAATCCAAAGGTACCACCCCTGATCTCCATGTAACATTGCAGAGACGTGTCAGCCAAGACAGCCCTACAATATCCAGAGCCTTCAGGAACTCAAGGTGAACCTTATCCACCTCAGGGGCTCTGCCACCAACTATTTGTTTAAATACTTCAGTGACCTTACCCCTGAGATAGACGAGTCATTCCCCTCGCCCCCAGACACTGCTTCCTCCACGGAAGACGTGCCAGCGGGATTAAAGAGGGACTCGACGTATTCCTACCACCGCCTGACAATGTTCTCAGTCGAAGTCAGCAGCACTCCACCCACACTATACACAGTGCAGGTAGAGCACCACTTTCTCCTCCTGAGTTGCCTGATAGTTTGCCAGAATCTCTACGAGGCAGTCCGCTAAACCTCTTGTTCCCAGTGGGATTCATCCCTAGTGCTGTGGGCAGTTTCACAGCCACCTTCTGAGCTACTAAGTCAAGTGGAGAAACAAATTTTGTCTTGAAGAAGAAATTTTGTCTTGAAGCTGCTGGCATCAGCAAAAGAACGGTGCCTCCTTTCCCTTAGGGCTAGAAGTTAAGCCATCCTGGAGGGGCTCATAGTAGAGCCACTGCTCCTCCACATCGAAAGGAGCCAGTTGAGGTGGTTTGGGCATCTGACAAGGATGCTTCCTGGGTGAGTGGTTCCAGGCATGTCCCACTAGGTGAGGAGATCCTGGGGCAGACCCACGACATGCTGGGGAGATTATATCTCTTGACTGGCCTGGGAACGCTTAGGCTGCTGCCCCCGTGACCCGGCCCTGGATAAGTGGAAGATGGATCTCTGGATGAGTAAAATTTGAATTACAAGTTTGCAACTCAAAGTATATTTATATAAATATCATTCTGCAGGTTTGTGAATATTTTTCTGTAAGTGTGAATTGAAAAGACTAGTGTGTAAATTATTTTTTTACAATTTACAAAATTTTAAAATACAAGTTAAAGTTTTTCTACATATTCTCACTTTTTTATTCTACGGGCTCTCAAATTTTAAAACATATTTACCTTCATATGTCTTCCCCTTGATTTGATTTTGTGTCTGAGATCCCATGTTCTCTCAGTGTAACGTGTTCTCATGTTCTTCATTTCGATACTCACTGGACTGTGTGTAGTTATTGTCATTTTTTAAACTTCAAATTAGTGGATATTGGTAGATGTATCTGCCACAGATGTTGAAATAGCTGCCTTTATTAAATAGAATAAAACTTTTCAATTATAATTAGTTATTTGTTTTGTGTTTAGAAATCAGATTAACTGGGCCTCAGTCAACTCGCTGCTCTGGACGAGTTGAAATCTATCACAACAACAGATGGGGAACAGTCTGTGATGATGGCTGGGACCTAAATGATGCTGAGGTGGTCTGCAGAGAGTTAGAGTGTGGATCAGCATTGGATGCCACTCAATCAGCTCATTTGGGTGAAGGAACAGGACAAATCTGGCTTGATGATGTGACCTGTTCAGGAAGTGAAAGTTCTCTAACTGAGTGTCAGCACGAAGGATTTGGGACTCATGACTGTACTCACCAAAAGGACGCTGGTGTCATCTGTTCAGGTAAGATACATTTAGGACTGTCCAAAAGAATAAACTTCCTGTCTTATCCTTTTTACCACCTAGAAGTGTTTTTTGTCATTATGCTTTATCCTGAACTTCACGGTAAGCAGAGGACCCGAGTTCATACAGTAACCGTATGAACTGTGCAGTACTGAGTAATAACATGTTCTACTATCAATGCACCTGTAATCCAAACAGGAATCTGTCCATTATTCATCAATTTAAAACTGTCGGTGGCTTTGCCCAAACACCACTGTGGGGATTTTGTCATTTGTGTCTTTAACTGTGTGAAAAAAAATTCATGTCATCAAAACTTCATGAACATATTGAAATAGTTACCATAATCAACAACTGAAAACATTCAAAACGTACTTATTCTCTGTTTAAAATATAGATTCTTTGTGTTTTCTGCATCTAGGTGTGCCCATCAGATTAGCTGGTTCTGGGTCCACTCAGTGCTCTGGAAGAGTTGAAATCTACCGTCAAAAAAGATGGGGAACAGTCTGTCATCATGGCTGGGACCTAAATGATGCTGAAGTGGTGTGCAGGCAGTTAGACTGTGGATCGGCACTGAAAGCCACTCAGTCAGCTCACTTTGGTGAAAGAACAGGAGACATCTGGCTGAATGAAGTGTCCTGTTCAGGAAGTGAAAGTTCTCTAGCTGATTGTCAGCACAGAGGATTTGGGACACACTCCTGTGGACATCGTGAGGATGCTGGTGTCATCTGTTCAGGTGAGACTCTTTTTGATTCATGCACCTGTAATACAGAGAAATATGTAAGCTGTGCTATTTTTTGCATCATCAACTGTGTGTTCGATTGTGCTTCAAATGAGTGAAATATCTACACAAAGGCATCATGTTTTTTTACTTCCTGTTTTACATTGAAGGTTACGTTTAGGTTTTACTTCCTGTTTTTTCCCTCGGTCTGATTGACTGTTTGAGCTCATATGTTCTTGAAGTGTAACTTGTCTTCCATGTTGTGTTTTTGGATTGTTATTTTTGTTTTCTCCTTTAGATTTTGCCATTTTGTTATCCATATTTCTAGTTCCTCAGATAATATCAGTTCCCTTTTGTGTCCATTCTGTCCTAATCTTATCTCTGTTTTGTCATTATTCCTTCTGGTGTGAAGTAGGTCTTGTCTCCATGTTTGTTTATCTCCTCCTCGATTCGCTTCTCTGCATGCTACCAACCTGCTTCCTGACTATTGTCTGGTTATTATCTTTTTTACCTGCTTGTTTAACTTCAAATTACTGACTTGTATTTGAAAAATATATTTGACACAGATGTTGCTATCATTAAAACATTATATTTAGAACTAAATATATATTTTCTGTGTTTTCTGATAAGGAATCAGATTAGCTGGACATCAGTCTACTCAGTGCTCTGGAAGAGTTGAAATCTATCACAATAAAATATGGGGAACAGTCTGTGACCATGGATGGAGCACAGAAGATGCTGAGGTGGTCTGCAGACATTTAGGCTGTGGACCGGCACTGAATGCCACTCAGTCAGCTCACTTTGGTGAAGGAACAGGACAAATCTGGCTTGATGAAGTATCCTGTTCAGGAAGTGAAAGTTCTCTAACTGAGTGTCAGCACAGAGGATTTGGGACACACTCCTGTGGACATGGTGAGGATGCTGGTGTCATCTGTTCAGGTGAGACTCTTTTTAAATCACGCACTGTATTCAATTCAAAATAATCCAATCCAGCTGTAAACCAGAGAGAAATATATCTGTTTGAATGAGCTTCACATGTTTGAGACTTCTAAACAAAATCATCCAAAAAAGTTAAAATAGCTGCTGCTGTCTGTGATCCAGTAATTTGGCATTAGGATCTGTGTAATTTGTTGTAAGTTGTGTGTCAGAGACGTTTTAATTGACATTAATTGAAGTTTGCATGAAGGCTGCTGCAGATGTTAGCAAATCTAGCCCCAGATGTTGTTTTCACAGACTGTTCCTTGTTTGAATGACCTGTATGGAAGAAAAAAAACAAGGTTAGAACACATTATGGTGAAGTAAGAAGAACATTTTGCAGTCCATTTTCTGTGTGTTGTTCAACATGGCAGACAAGGAAAAGAGGTTAGGAAAAAGAGATAGGAGGTACTTTTTGAATGTAACCTTTGCATTCTTCAGTACCAGCCTGCATCCCATCCCCTGTGTGTGTGTGTGTGTGTGTGTGTGTGTGTGTGTGTGTGTGTGTGTGTGTGTGTGGTCCTGTTGTCTTTTGGATTTTTGCAACAGTTAATAAAGGCTCACTTGTTGGAAGATTTTGAAACCATTTCCTTCATTAAATAGGAGAACGCCTTACAATCATAATCAAATATATGTTTTCTGTGTTTTGTGTTTAGGAATCAGATTATCTGGGCCTCAGTCAGGTCGTTGCTCTGGACGAGTTGAAATCTACAATCAAAAAAGATGGGGAACAGTCTGTGATGACGGCTGGGACTTGAATGATGCTGAGGTGGTCTGTAGGCACTTAGACTGTGGCACAGCACTAGCACCTCCTAAAGAGGCTCATTTTGGTGAAGGAAGTGGACCAATCTGGCTTGATGGTGTGGCCTGTTCAGGAAGTGAAAGGTCTATAATCCAGTGTCAGCACAGAGGGTCTGAGAAAAATGGCTGCACACACCATAAAGATGCTGGTGTCATCTGTTCAGGTACATCTCTCATCATCAACAGATTTATCATTAACTCACAGTAGCTTTGCTTCTCTGTCTATTTTGTCCTAAAATTCAGGGTGATCACTCATAAAGTAACCATCCTGCACATCTTGCATTTTTCAGTAATAAAATGTTCAATAATACTAATACAAATAATACTGATACTTGAAATGAGTAAAGAATATGAACAGCCTATTTATGCAAGATAATTCATAATTTTATTGGGGGGGGGGTCATAACCTCCTGGAAATTACACCCCTGAAAATGTTCTGCTATGAATGTAGCTGTAATCTACAGAGAAATATGTTTTCCATCATCTTTTTAAACTGCCAGTAATTAAAAGACATAAATGTGGGTCTGTGTGTAGTTATTGCCATGTATTTGTGCACAGTGAGTCTGAGTGAACGTGAGATGAATGAAACTTATTTAATGTACAGAAATGAGTCTCACAATAATGTTCAATTAAAATATTAAATGCATTTACTCTGAGTTCAGGTGCACGCATCAGATTAACTGGGTCCACTCGTTGCTCTGGAAGAGTTGAAATCTTTTACAACAACACTTGGGGAACAGTCTGTGATGATAGCTGGGAGTTAAATGATGCTGAGGTGGTCTGCAGAGAGTTAAACTGTGGAACAGCACTGAAAGCCACTAAGTCCGCTCACTTTGGTGAAGGAAGAGGATCGATCTGGCTTGATGATGTGGACTGTTCAGGAAGTGAGAGATCTCTGACTCAGTGTCAGCACAGAGGATTTGGGAAACATGACTGTACACACAGCAAGGATGCTGGTGTTGTCTGTTCAGGTAAGAAACTTTACTAATCAAAAGTAAATTAATAATAAAGGTCAATACAATTTTTTACTATTTATTTCATTACCTCTTGGTTTTGTCTTTAATATTATGTCATTAATATTATTTACGACTCCAGCATTTATGAAAAATTATTAGCTTGACTTGTTTGTTATCATTCAATATTAATTATTCACAGCCTGACAAATAAAGTGATGAGTGAGAACTGTCAAAAGAAACCGATTTAATATGATTGAAGCGTCCTATAATAACATTCAACACTGAAATGTGAACTTAACATAAAGTATATAAATAGGACTGTAGGACTGTTCTTTTGTTTGTTTTTTATGATCATTGAGCAGTTGAGTGATGTAAAGTTTGCAAATGATTGCACTCATGAACCAATTACACACTGAATAACATTCAGTCCATCAAAAAAGTTTTTGTTTTATATTATGCTCACTGTTCCTAGGTGTGCCAGTCAGATTATCTGGAAGCACTTTGTGCTCTGGAAGAGTTGAAATCTTTTACAACAACACTTGGGGAACAGTCTGTGATGATAACTGGGACATAAATGATGCTGAGGTGGTTTGCAGAGAGCTCGGCTGTGGAACGGCACAGAGTGCTGCTGTATCAGCCCGCTTTGGTGAGGGAAGTGGATCCATCTGGCTTGATGATGTGGACTGTTCAGGAAGTGAGAGATCTCTGACTCAGTGTCAGCACAGAGGATTTGGGACACATGACTGTACTCACCAAAAGGATGCTGGTGTTGTCTGCTCAGGTGAGAAATTATTTTTTAAATATTTATCATTAAATATCAATAATATTTAAATACTGTTATGTGGTGGGAGATTTCTTTCTTTTTGTATTGATCACATAGTTTAACCATATCACTTTAGTAATGGTAGAATCACATTTTCACCAGTTGTATGCATGTGCACCGTAAATGGGCCTTATGCTCTAACACACATGTGTAACATGTAAGAGTTACATAGAGTCTTTGTCAGTGTGGGTATATAAGATGTGAGGATGGCAGCCATTGTCAGAGACTGCTTAGGTGTTTGACCAGAGTCTCTTCATATTGCAATATGTTATTAAGCTCACTTGAAATCATGCTCACCGAGATGTTTGCGGATTTATTTGAAATTTCCATGACAATTATTAATATATAAAGTAAATTTTTGCCATTTTTAATTGAATCGTCTCTCCATGACTGCTGTTTCCTCAGTGATCCTCCCAAAGCCCAGAATCTTCATGATTCCTGCTGGTAAAGTTGAGTGGAGAAGTGATGTCAGCATCACTTGTTCAATATCACCTCAAAGCCAACAGCTTCTACAAGGAGAATTTACTCTGAAGCAGATTTCAGGCTCATTCAGTCAGACAAAACCGTCAACTACCAACTCTGCTACATTCAAGATCCTCAAAGTAGATTTTGACAAGGACGGATTGTACCAGTGTGAATATTCATACGACTCCAGCATCTCCACAAGTGACTCTGTCACCGTCTCTGTTACTGGTAATAAAATGTACTACTGCTTATATTACAGTGATAGGAAAATACTGTGTTTACTTGTGACGCCCACTACAGGTTATTAGCATGAAAATATAACATCCATTAAGATAAGAAGTCTTAATTTCAGCAGTTCATCAATCAACGACAACACTTAATAGTCACTTCCCAATTATGTCTAAGATTGCAGAAACCCAACTTAATTTCATGCCAGTGTTCACTGCAATCAATAAATTAAAATAAACGCCATGTGAATAAAGATTTTCATATTCATCCTGCCCTAAAAACTCCCAGAAAAGCCTTCAGTTAATCCAAAATACAGCTGCGAGAGACTGAGAGAAAGAGAACGCATATTTCTCCCATGTTGGTATTTCTTCATTGACTCCCTGTTAAATCTAAAATCTAAATCCTTGGTTTGGCCAAAGGTTTCTTCCTGTTAAAAGGGAGCCTTTCTTTCCCAATGTTGCCAAGTGCTAATTCATAGGGTGCGGTTTCTCTTTAACGCTGTACAGTCTTTATCTTATAATATAAAGCGCCTTGAGGTGTTTTGAATTCTCAATATCTATAAAAACTGAATTAATCTGAAATGTCTGGGCACCAAAGAATTGCTGGACTTTTGGGAGAGAAATGTTGTCCTATTCTTGAGGAATAAATGATTCTAGCACCTCAACAATCCTGAGCTGTCTTGTTTGTTTAATGATGGATTAAATGTTTTCAGTCAGTTAAAAAGATCTGGATCATATTCACACATGACACAC